TAAGGGTATCTCATGACACCTCTACTTACCAATCATCGATAAATGCCTTCACAAAATATACCGTTTCTCCTTAAAGGCTAAGATTGAACTCTCTGCTCAAAGCCCCATCTTGCAGGAGAATGATTAAGAAAATTACATAAAAATTAAGAATTAAAATTTGATGGCATATTAACATCCTTTTTATTCAACAACATACTTTTCTTATTAATAGAAAAATTATGGTTGTAATCAATTGCATAATCAAGTCCATCCTTCTACTCTCTATGCGTCAAATTTTACTTAATGAATTTGTGTGGAGCATAATTTTTAAATTATAACCAAATTCCTATTTCGTACACCATGTAAATTCAAATGGAAGTAAATAACAAACCTCCCATTAAAACTTGTTGACAGCAAGTAACAAGCCCCCTTCAAACTAGAACAAAGCCAGATTATAACTTGAAATGAACCACATCAAGGTTGTCTAGATCAAGAACATCATACTAGAAAAAGAAAGCATCTCTCATAGACAATATCCAAATAAAATGAAATTAAAAAAAAAATCCAATAATAAAACTAATTTAACTTGCTCAATTCTTTCATGTGTTCTTTCTGTTAAGAAAGTTGCTACTTAGCTTTTGCACGTTTTACATTTCTTGCAACTTGTATAGTTTTGATGATTCTAAATATTATTGTTCTATTTTCTCCTAACACTTTTTTGGAAGAATTGTTTTTGCTCTTGTATGGACTAACATTTCAGAATAATCGAACTCCAGACTACTGAAGACTTCAAATCAAATTCAGCATAAGATAGTTTGTAAATTGAAATATGTATTTTTCAATTTTTTGAATTTGAGAGAGTGTGATTGTAATTGAGTAACTTAGCACACACACACTTTAGGAGATCTTTAAAAATAAAAAAATTTCTTATATTGATCGTACGGGACTAGGGGTGTAAACGAGTCGAGTCGAGTTTCGGAAAGCGAGCTCGAGCTCGAGTCGATCTCAAAAAACGAGCTCGAACTCGAGCTCATCCCATTAAAATCGAGTTCGAGCCGGCTCGCGAGCCGCTCGATTTAGTTTTGCATTTTCCCGCATGTGCCCCTTTTTTTTATTTCTACCGCCCGTGGCCATTTTTCCCGCCTGTTATTTTTAGGCTTGAGTAACTGTCACTCGGACAAGGCATCAAGTACTATAGGGTCTATAGCTAGCTATTATTGAGCAGCATTTACACCCCTGTAGGGACGAACCATGTTCGTACGGGACGATCAGGTCAGTTATCCCTCGGAGAGCAATGGAACGAACAGGAAGTGAAAAAAATTTTCTAAATCCTGATCGTCCAGACGAATTTCCTTATTCGTCCCTGGACGATGTCCTCTGGATTCTCACTTTGAATTGTTCGTCCAAACGAAGTGTGCCATTCATCCCTGGACGATGTCCTCTAGATTCTCACTTTGAACTATTCATCCATACGAAGTGTACCATTCATCCCAGGACGATGTCCTCTGGATCCTTGAATTGAACATATCGTCCAGACGATTCACCCTATTTGTCCCAGGACGATGTCCTCTGGATCCTTGAATTGAACATATCGTCCAGACGATTCACCCTATTCGTCCCAGGACGATGTCCTCTGGACACATGACTTGAACTAATCGTCCAAACGAACTCCTATATTCGTACCAGGACGAAATCCTCTGTTCCTTGAAAATTTGGATCGTCTTGCAGTTTCGTCCAACCGAACCCTTGATATAATTGTTTGTACCGGACGAACATAGTTCGTACGGGACGATGATCGGGTACGAAGTTATTCATTCCAATATACATTGGGTTCATGATCATACGGGACGATCGAGTGCGTACAGAATTGAAATCTAGAAGTTTTTGGATGGTTTTTCGTGTCTTTCCTATATAAGGTCCACTTAAAACTATCTTGTAATCTTTTTGGTCATTATTCTTCGTGCTTACTGAAATAAGTGTGAAGGAGAGAGTAGAGAGAGTGTTTGAAGGAGAGTTCTTACTATTAGAGCGTGAAGGATTCACTTGGTACTCAAAGGTAAGGATCTCAACTTTGTGAATTATGATTACTTCACTCTTTTTTCTTGTCCTTCTAGATTTCTTTTGAGAATATCTTTCAAGGAGATCCGGTTCTCTGCCGACACTTGGTGAAGTGTGAAAGGACGAAAGGATCTCTGCCTATACTTGGAGAGTGTGAACAGCGGGAAGGTTCTCTGCCTACACTTGGAGAGTGTGAACAGCGAGATGTACTCTGCCTACACTTGGAGGGAGTAAAAGGATGACGGTTCTCTGCCGCACCAGGTAGTGGTGAAAGAGAGTTTTGTGAAGGCTTCTCCGCTTTACTGTGGGGGCAAATGTAGAGACACTATTGGTATTAGTGCAATACTCGGAGGGTGGCTCCGGGGAGTGGATGTAGGTCGTGTTTGACCGAATCACTATAAATCTTGTGTCTTTTTATTTTCCGCTGTTTTTCTTTTTTACTTTACTTTTTATGTTGATATATGGTTGAAAAATCTTTTTACAAAAATTCATTAAAGTTTTTATCGGTTTAAAAATTAAAGAGGGAAATTTTTTTAATTACCAATTCAGCCCCTCCCAACCCCCCCCCAATATCCAAATAAAATGAAATTAAAAAAAAAAAACCAATAATAAAACTAATTTAACTTGCTCAATTCTTTCAAAGCTTGACAAACTCTCACCATGTGTTCTTTCTTTTACAAATAAAAGCAAATCACATCTTGAAAATGCCACAAAACTTAATTTTATAACGATTAAAGGTAAAGTTTTAGACATCTTGTTAAAAGGTCTCCTAATATGTATTCTTTTGGCCTATTTTTTATCTTCTAAATCCTCAAACTTAGCAATCACATCTTTAGAAAGAAAATGCTAAAATTATCTAAGTTGTTGTATCTTAACCCCATAACATAGCGCCATAGAAATTCTTACAAAATTGAGGTAGAAGACAAAACTTCACCCTTATCATCAACCAACAAATCATTATTCCTCAAATTCTTTATAATGGAATTAAAATGAATAAAATGTGATTTAATGGGTACATCTTTTTACAAGCATGGCAAATAAAACTTTTTCTTTCAATATAGTTTGTTTTTAAGGGGTTTGATCATTTACAAAAACTCCAACTTGAGCCACAACCTCAAGGTGCTTGTTTCTTCCAAGATATTTATCAAGATTTCATCCACCAAAAATAATTGGATGGGCAAGAGAGCTTTTTTCATCCATTTATATCTTCTTTACACACAATCTTGAGCATATTTGAACACTCGTGAGTGCCTCAACAAGTTCCTGATATACTACAAAATCATTCATCTTGGGTCTCCAAAGCCTAGAACTCTTTAAGAGTCAAAATTCTCAATCTCTTACTTCATGATCATTGTATTTTGAAATAGGCTCTTATATCAGTTGATGAGAAAAATACAAAATATTATGCAAAATTGTCTACTAGGAACAAATATGATGAATGCAAAAATTAATAACCAAGAAATAAAATATAAAAATAAGACATCTACAAATATTTACATAGTTCAGCTAGAATAAGTTTGTCTACATAAGAGAACATTACAACAACAACAACAACAAGCCTTTATCCCACTACGTGGGGTCGGCTACATGAATCCTTTTTCTCCATTGTGAAGAGAACATTACAAATAAACAACATAAATGTATAAATAAAAAAGGAAAAAGAAAAATATTAATCACAAAATCCTATTAGACTTAATCAGTCAATCCCATGATAAAAGAGAAGACCAAAACCTCTTAAGATAAACACAAAGAGGAAAAACACAGATAATAAACAAACATTTAACTAATACCAAAAAAATTCCAATAAAAAGTTACTCAAAATAGCATCTTCTTGCATGTATATGTACTCATCAAAATGTTTTTGGCATAGCTGTATTTTCAATATGTCAATATAGCGTTCCATAATTTCTTAAATCTTATTTTCTTTGTTATTGTTTTTCTTTCTCTCCCACATTCTATCTCATATAACTTTTCATTTCTTTATTCATCTAGCCACTCAAAGCCTAGCATCCCACCGCAGTGCAATCCAAAGTGCATTCTCCCATCTAAAGCCTAATGCAATCATGGAGATAACACATCCCGAGTGCATACCCATGCCATCAGCCTTTCATAAGGACTCACACACATTTGACTCTTTATTTCCCTCTTATTTATAGGATTTTAAGACGGTTTTTAAATCTAAATCAAGTTTACATTTAGAGTTAAGCTATCCAAGAAAACAAATAAGCGATGAAACACAAGTTTGATTAATTTCATTCTAAAAATAAAATAAAATGTTTTGATACTAAAAACCTCTAATTTTAAATCAATGCAAATCTTAATAAACTATCAAATTAAAATTCTAACAATCTACTGGCAACATTGCACTATGTCCATCGGGACAAACTACGTATTTCTATGCAATAGTAGTATTTTACATATACACCATGCTTCATTTTTTTTTTTTCACTTTCCTCTTAAGCTTTCCATATAAAATATCCCTCCTTAAATGTATTTGTGCTTCTAGAGTTAAAACGAACATAAAAGTCTGTCACCATTTATATTTATTAGAATTTCTTGCAGCACACAAGATTGATGATTATGACATACATATTAAACTTCATACTTTAAAAAATGATTTTTTTTTATTTATTGAAGAACCCTTGACAAATTAGGATTTTTTTTGCCATACGCCTTTTCAGTAATTTTCCCTCTAATATTTTGTCTATCCTCATCAAAAGACTTCTAAAAACTTTAATGCATATTTGTTTCTTGAAGAATTAAGATCAACCTTTTTTATTACATTATAAAACCCACAATCTCATCTGAAAATAAATGTGGTCGGGTTCTCTGCAAGTTGGAGTATAGTAACCACAGCATATTCTCAAATTTCAGAGAACAAAAATATCCTCCCCAAGTAAAATATCATATTTATCATCTTCACACCTATGAGAAAAGTCTAGAAATCCATTGGTAGAAGGAACTTGTGGAACGAGAAACTTCACCGAAACTATTGTTAATTCAATATAGTAACAAAAACACAGTAGTCAAGCAATACATCTGTTCGTCACTGCGAGTTCAGTATCGGAATGGAGCAAAAAGCACGCACAGACTCATGTTCTTTGTTCATCACAATGCAACACTGGCAATATATCATTCACTCCTCATATCAGTTATCTCCATCGAAGAAAAAATAGTTTTTGGAGGGATTAAACTTTTCCCGGACCACCATTGTTCATAACAAGCAAAGTGTGCTTCAGTCCCATTCCTGATCTCTAACCATCCTCATTGCAGAATTCCATTATCAAATTTCAAACTCCAAATCAAAATAAGCACTGAAAATTTTCTACAAGCAACCGCAAGAAATTCCAACCTTTACAACAAGTAATTAGCGCCTGAAGCGATCAATCAAGATGAACATAGCCTTCCCATGTAACAATAGAAAATTCGACTTTCTACATCCATAGCTGCACGCCTTCCCTCACAAGCAACAACTAACCATTGAGATCTTTCCACGTAAAATGGAAATCCCAACATTAAAAAAACAGAAGACTAATCATCCAGATCTTATAGAAGAAAGCAATATCACAAGTTAAAACAAAACCACAAATCAACGAAAGACATTAGAAATTTCACTTAAGCGAAAAGATCAAACACTGACCGTGAATGCGCTACTTCTTATCTTCGCCTCTCCGAAGGGACTGCCAGAACACAGGCCAATTCCTTCTCGCCTCATTCCATCCGAGTACAGATCCCTCACGAAGCGGATCCCAGCTCGCAGACACGATCCCATAGCTGACGCCAAGAAGAGAGGCCCCAAAAAAGAAAAAGGAGACGAGGAGGGGTATCCAGTTGGGCACATCTAACTTCACCGCCACCTTCAGATAGTAGAAAAATGGGAAAAAAAGAAGTCCGATGCCCAACGGAATGCCCACCGACAACCCCATCCGCTGCATCATTCGATTCGTCACTACCTCAGGGATGGTCCCAGCGTCATCGTCTCTCTCTTCCTCATCTTCATCATCTTCTTCTTCATCATCGATTTGGCCCAATCTCTTCTTTTGCTTTCTATTCTTGGATTTTTGGGAGGAGATAGTGGAGCCGAATCCCCTCGGGGTCTTCCGAGCAGCAGTGGGAGAGAGGATTAGGGTTTTAGTGCGAGACGAGGATGAAAAGGAAGATGGGAATTTGATGCGGGGAAAAGGAGCGGGAAGCAGGAAATGGAGTACGGATCCCATAGTTGGCTTATGTGATGAGGCGCTGAGGATGGCATGTGGGCTTATCGCCATGGAGTTCCAGTTCGATATGGCAGTGGCAACCCGACTACTTGAGAAATGAAGGAGCGGGATTGCATTGGGCCAAGTAAAATGGGCCATGGATAAAATATTGGGCCATAGGCAGAACGCTGGCTTGAATTGATGGTGTAAGCGAGTCAACCACTCTTCCGCTAGATACATTTCGCTTCATAAATGATTTGCGAGCCGAATTTAATAAGCTAATATATCAAATTTGAGCTAGTCCAGACTAAACTCATTAGCTTGTGAGTTGATTCGTTTCAAAAATATTAATATAAAATATACTTAAATAGATTAGAATTCAAGATTTTAAATATTGTTAAAAATATTTAAAATTATACCACAATTTCTTATATTAAGTAATTCTTTATTATTTTTCTTATAATTTCAAATTTTTATCATTTTATTATAATAATTAGTTAAGCTATAATCATTTTCTATCTTTCATAAAGAGCTTGATTGGGTGAACTGGAAATCCAAGTTAGTGCTGCTGATTTAACTCGAGATAGACTAGAAAAAATTAATGAAATTTTCAATTAAAAGTTTTCTTATAATTATTTATTTTTCTATCAGCATATATAGCCATAAAGATATAATAACAGAATTATTAAGAAAAAAAACTAGTGGTTATAATAATTTTAATTCGTTATTTTGTAAAAGAAAAATCTTTATATTATTTTGATATATATATCATAAAATATTTATTTTTTAGAATTGCATGATAACATCTTGATTGCCTAATTTGTCTTCATTGCAAGAATTATCCAATCTATGATAAATTTAATCAATCTATTCAAAATATATTTAGACGTCATAAAAATTGATCTTTATTGGATAGAAATCTCGATACAAATATGAATCAAAACTTTCAAATTAAGTTCGGGATCATCAAACTCTAATTTCAATAAACTTATAGTCAAATTAAACATCTCAAGTAAATGAACCCGATGATACCAAATTAAGTTTGAGCCCATATCAAAGAATCAAAGCATACTTGGAAGTTGGAAGCTTCATAGCATCAACTACATAAGGGGAGGAGGATTAAGAGAAGAGCTATGAGACTCGAAGAATCCAATAGTTCCACCTCAATACCACTACCGACGATTTTGGGCCTCCTGGCCACTATTGATGAATCTCCTCCAAACCATTGTCTTCGAATCTCCATATGATAGCCATTGACAAGCCTTACTGTAAGCATTGTCGCTCGGCAACTACAATCCTTTCGAACTCTATTGCCTACCGACTACGGTCTCTTCGACCACCATTGCTCGACTACGATTCTTCCCACTACGGTCACCCCGCCGACTACAATCTCTTTGACCATCATCTTACGACTACGATTCTTATAACCTTTGTAGTCGACAACGGCCCGCCGACAACGGTCTCTCCGACCACGGTCGTCTGACTACGATTCTTCGGACCACCATCTCCCACCGACTACAGTCCTTACAACCTCCGTCACTCACCAAGTATGATCTCTCTGACCAACTGTCGCTCAGCTACAGTCCTTTCAACATTCATCTCTCTTTAACTATGCTCCCACCAACCAACTTCACCCGACTATGGTCCTTCCAACCTCCATCACCTACTGATTACGATCCTTTTGACCATCATCATTTGATTACAACCCTTCCAACCAAACAAGTAGAACAACACTCTCTTAAGAACAACTATCATATCATTCTCCAACTATATAATATGTTATATACAATATATATTTGTTTCATGGAGCCAACTCCCTCTCTTGAAGAAGGGTATTGACACCGCTCCGACTCCACGAAGCAGGACAAAAGGCCTCCGGCGATCACCACCCGGCGTCTGCTACGTCACCTTGTTTCACCACCTGAAGAATTCAGGATGCAGAGAACAGGGTAATCGTAAAACAGGAACAAAACACAAGAACATTAGTTCTGTATTCAAATTCTCATCAAAAAAACGTCCTATTACAGGTAGCCGTTAGAATATATATACACAGGAAGAAAACAAAGCTATGGCTACACATTATTAGAATAAGCGGCTACACAGACAATGTCCCTAACTCCGGCTCGCCTGTAGCTCCGGCGTCATTCACCCGGGGTGGGAAAGAACTCCTCTATGTCATAATGAGGAGTTAAATCAGCAACGTTGAAGACTGCCGAGACATTGTAATCTCCTGGAAGATCTATTTCGTAAGCATTATCATTTATCCTTTTAGTGATTCTAAAAGGTCCGTCTGCCTTAGGCTTAAGTTTTCCAAAAGAACCGGGTGGAAAACGTTCCTTTCTCAATTTTATCCATACCTTATCTCCCACTTGAAACTGCTGAAGCTTTCGGTGTTTGTTAGCCTGTTTCTGGTACTTGGTATTCTGTTTCACAATGTGTTCGCGCACCTGTTGGTGTAGTTTCTTAATTTCTTTGCTTCGTTGCTCCCCTTCTTTACTAACGGCGGTAAGGGTTGCAGACGGCATTAAATCAAGGGGTGTAAGCGGATTGGTACCGTAGACGATTTCGAATGGAATATGCCCTGTCGTCTGGTTTGTAGAACGGTTGAACGCGAATTCTACCTGGGCTAGGATAAGATCCCACTGCTTGATATGTTTTCCGATAAAGCATCTGAGTAAGTTGCCCAAGCTCCGATTAATGGTTTCTGTCTGGCCATCTGTTTGAGGATGAGCCGTTGAGCTGTATTGTAGTCGAGTGCACAGCTTGCTCCATAACGTCCGCCAGAAGTGGCTAAGGAACTTGACATCTCGGTCGGACGTAATTGTCTTCGGAATCCCGTGAAGTCGCACGACTTCTTTGAAATACAGATCAGCGATGTGCGTGGCGTCCATGGTTTTGTTGCAGGCAACGAAATGAGCCATTTTTGAAAATCTGTCTACAATTACCATGACAGAATCTTTATTTCGCTGAGTTCGCGGCAAGCCCAGAATGAAGTCCATACTTACGTCTTCCCAAGGGCCGACTGGAACAGGAAGAGGGGAGTATAATCCGGCATTGGTGAGCGACGTTTTGGCTCTTTTGCAGACCTGACAACTTTGAACATAGCGAAGCACATCTCTTTGCATAGAGGGCCAATGGAACCGTTCTTTCAGTAATGTCAGTGTTTTGTCGCGGCCAAAATGACCAGACATGCCTCCGTCGTGGCATTCAGCCACCAAAGCAAGCCTTACAGAGCAATTAGGAATACAAATTCTTGTACCAAGGAAGAGGTACCCTTCTTTACGATGAAACAACTTATGCGGGCTATCCTGGCAAAGCACCCATACTTCTTTGAAGTCTGTATCAGTGGCATAAAGATCTCTTATGGTCTCAAATCCCGTCAGTCTTGTGTGCAACGCTTGGAGCAGAATGTAGCGGCGACTAAGGGCGTCCGCCACCTGATTTAGTGTACCCGACTTATGTTGCAGCACAAATTGAAAAGCGGCTAAGAATTCCGACCAGCTGGCATGTCTTCCTTTTAATTTCTTCTGACTCTCTATGAACTTCAAGGCCGCATGATCCGTGAACAGCACAAATTCCTTAGGTAGAAGATAATGACTCCAATGGTGTAGAGCCCGGACAATGGCATAAAACTCCTTATCATACGTCGAGTATCTCTGTCGAGTCTCATTGAGCTTTTCGCTAAAATAAGCTACGGGTCGTCCTTCTTGACTCAATACCGCTCCCACTCCCACATTGGAAGCATCGCAGTCGACCTGGAATATTTTGCTGAAATCAGGGAGGCGTAGGACCGGAGCAGAGGTCATGTTCTTCTTTAGTTCGTCGAAGCTAAGTTGTGCTGCAGCTGTCCAGTGAGAAGAATCTTCTTTTAGTAATTCAGTAAGCAGCGCTGCAATTGTGCTGAAGTTGGCAATGAATCTGCGGTAGAACGAAGCTAGCCCATGAAATCTTCGGACATCCGTGAACGAGCAGGGATTGGGCCAGCTGAGGATTGCTTCGACCTTGTCCGAATCCACTTCGACACCTTCAGCTGAAACAATGAATCCCAAAAACCGGATTCTTTGATCCAGGAACTGACATTTTTTTTTATGACAGTATAACTTCTGCTCTTTAAGAATTTGAAAGACATGTCTTAGATGCTGTAAATGTGACTGCACGTCGGGGCTATATACCAGAATATCGTCAAAGTAGACGATTACGAACTTGCTCAAGAATGGTTGGAAGATCTGATTCATGAGGCGCATGAAAGTGCTGGGGGCATTTGATAGCCCGAATGACATTACTAACCATTCATAGAGTCCGTCCCGCACCTTAAAGGCGGTCTTCCACTCATCGCCTTCACGGACTCGTATTTGATGGTATCCGCTCCGCAAGTCAATTTTTGAGAAGATGGTTGCACCTTGTAGCTGGTCGAATAGATCATCTATGCGCGGAATGGGAAATCGGTATCTCACCGTAATCTTGTTGATCGCCCTGCTATCTATGCACATCCGGTATGATCCATCCTTCTTTGGTACCAACAATGCCGGCACCGCACACGGACTGACACTCGGACGAATGTATCCCCTGTTGAGTAATTCTTCTATCTGTCTCTGTAATTCTTGATGTTCATCAGGTCTTAGCCGATAGGGTGGCCGGTTCGGCAACGTCGCCCCTGGAGTCAGCTCGATAGCATGCTGGATTTCCCGCAGGGGAGGTAGTCCAGCAGGTAATTCCTCCGTCCAAACCTCGCTGTACTCGTGTAGGAGCGGCTGAATCTCCTCTGGCACGGCGGCTGTTTTCTTCTCCGCCTCTTTGACCAGTATCAGATATCCCCCATCAGCTTGTTGAATAGCTCTTAGACATTCAGTCTTGCTGACCAAGAGCTGGCCAGCCGTGCCTTCATCACAAGTTGATGGACAAGGTATGAGTACAAACGTCTCCTGTCCTTGGACTAATGTATAGGTATTAGCTAACCCATCGTGCACCGTTTTCTTGTCGAATTGCCAAGGTCTGCCTAATAGTAGATGACACGCATCCATGGGCAGAACATCACACCAAACTTGGTCTTTGAATTTGCCAATAGAGAAATGGACCAAGCAACGCTTGGTCACCT